ATCCGTCGGTACACTGAGAATAATATTATCGAGATTTTAAGGCACTTTATTTAAGACGTTTTAACAAATTATTATAGTAAATTTTAATATATTATTTTTTATTTTTTAATTCGATTTTCTTTGATAATCGATAGAAGTTGTCGCCAGTAAGTATGCAATAATTTGTTTTTTTAACCCAAGGATAAGTATAATCCAAAAATGCATTCCAAAGTTGATTATTAAACTTGGTGTGCTATATTTAAATTCAAAAATTAAAGATACATATTCTTTTAACTTATAAAATAAGATAAGTACTTCAAACGGGTATTAAAATGTGAAAAGGACACTAATTAAATTTACATTTTCGTAGCAGGCATCTTAATTAAAATACTTTTGTTAACCTTTTGATTATTATTGGTTAATAAAAATAATAAATCTATAAACCTCTATAAAGTATTTGATTCATTATAATTTGAAGGAGTATAAATATATTTTTTGGAATATTCTTATGTTTTTAAGTGACTAAAGATTTTAAATTTTTTTTTAAGTCAAAGTATTTTTTCCACTGTACCTGTCCGTTTGTCCACTTTGTCCGCCGGCTCGTACTTTATGCCCACCGTATGCAAAGCAGCCCGCAGCCCAGCTACATGTGTTTTACATGAATTTTAAATGATATGTTAAATAAAAATGCGCAGCTAAACAGCCCAAGGCACCGCACCACAGTGAAGACAACGCAAACGGACAGGGGAACGAGTTGGGGATCGGGAACGGGAACGGGAACAGGAACAACTGCAGCCACAGTGAGTGCAAAGAGTGCGTGAACCACTCTCGGCACACGCAGTCATAAAAACAGTGGTCGCGAATGCGAATCGCCTGAATACTTTATTTGCTTTGCTCAAAACTAAATTGCGTCTAGTTAAAGTTTATTATCCAATTAAATAGTGCTAAAAATCTAAAAAGAAACAGTGATGGGAATCATTTTTAAGACAATAAAACAAACAAACCTATGCAAGTACAATTCTTTATAACATGATGTCTTTATTACATGTTTATTACATAATTTAATTATTTAATTACATGTTGTGGTGTAAAGAAAAACTTTTTAAAAAATATAATTAAAATACAGCATTTTTTAGCTGATAATTAGTGTCTTAGCAAAATATAAATACTTGTAAGTAATTAATTACAAAATATTGTAATCTATACTAAAGTAAAAATTCTTGTAAAATACTAACCTTAAAAAATCTTTACTTTATTAATCATATTAAATTTATTAGAACACAATTTTTTTTTATTTTAAATATACAACAAACTTTCGAAACTCGGAAAACTTGAATAATCCAAATCTAATTCGCTTCTGGAAATAATATACCAAGCTTAAGCAATGGTTTTTCAAATTTATTGCTAGCTGTACAGTTTGTTAACCCTTACAATCTGATTTTCATTTGACTTTCTGAATCTCAAACCAATTAAATGATATAGTTCCCCCAGAACCGCCCACTGTGCAGGCGTAGAGAAAAATCAGAGAAATGGACGCGGGAAGTCGGGCCAAAAACTATGCAAAGTTTATGCGAATCTAAAATATTTGCACTGGGCAAGCGCATGCGCAGCACACTCAATTGTTCAAATACATTTATATATCTTAAAGGAAAATCCAGCTGGAGAGGGAAAACTGAAACCGAGCAGCAGCCGCCGGAGGAAGGCCGGAGTTTGGATGCTGGATGTTGGATGTTGGATGTTGCATGCTGCCTGATGCTATCAATTCAAAGTCAAATGGGGGGACAACAAAACAAATCGGCGCTGCATCTATAATGAGCCCAGCCAACGTGGACCAAACTCAGATGCCTGGCTCAAAAACCTAAGCAAAAAAAAAAAAAACAGGCCGGGCCAAGGCCCCCGAGTCGGAATTGATGAGAGCGGGCAACCATATGGCCAGCGGGCTCGGGCCTGGACCCAAACCGAAGTCCAAACCCATCCCCAAACCCAAGCCCAGTCTGAGTTCCAGGTCCAGACTGGGGTCCGATGTTTTGACTTGCATGTGCCTCATTGAGTTGTTCTGTGCGGAGGCCCCTGTCCCCCTTTTTCCTTTTTCCCCAGCCCCGATCTTGGGGAGCACGATCTTCTATGGGGACACCCACCCAACGCACACACATTGGCCTACAGGTGGGGTCAAGAAAATATAAGAAGGGGTAGGGGTTTTTAAAAATATTTTTAAAGCATTTTTTAAGCTTTACCTAAAGTGAAATATATAAGAATCATTACAACTTATTGTACAAAATCAAGAAAAGATAGGATTTTTCATATACAAAATTAAGTAAATTTAATTTTTAGTAATAAATACTTGCTAATAATATTTGTTAAATTTAACTTTTTGTAATAAATACTTCCTAATAACATTTTTTAAGTTACATTTTTATAATAAACACTGGCTAATAAGATTTTTAATAATTTAAAATATTTTTAAAAGAGGAAGTAAAGAATATATCATTAAAAGTATTAATTAAGAACCCTAATGAACGTACTAATCCAGAACATATCTACTTATGTAAGTTTGAAAATATTTTTAAATAGGTTTATTTTCAATTTAGATTTTGTGATGGTAAAACAATATTTAACCAATATAAGTTTAGATAAATTATTGTATTTTATTTGGATATGTTAAAATCTTTCGTAATTATTTTTAAAAGGAGCACTGCTATTTTTCTGACTGCAGGTGTACACACAGATGCGCCCAGTGCCCTGGGGCCATCGCATTATTCCCGTTCCTAGTTCGATTCGCATTGATTGCAAAAATTGTTGAATGCCGCACAATTGAATCCGTTCGCGGGTCCATAAATGTCTTCATTATGATCTTGAGTAGTTTGGCCAATTTGCTGAGGACCAACTGACCAACGGATATTCGTTGAAATTAAGGGGTTTTCGGCTTAAAAATTTAGTATATATGTATATATAAGCTGGCTTAAATTATTGAATTAAAACTAAATGATTTTAGTTTGAATTAACAGAATCATTAACAAAATATTTCATTTTAATGCGAATCAAATATATATAAAATATATTGTATATGTAATACATAACATAATAATAATAATAAAATATATATAATATTTTGTTAAGAAATTTAAAATGTAATTAATGTTAATTAAATAGTTAACTCCTTGGTTCAATGGGGATATTCTCGTAGATCCTCGGGTAAAAAACTGTGCCAACACCCAAAAGAGGGGGAATCACCTACGTGGCCCAAGAACGGAGTTCCTGTCGAAAGGCGAGTCGGAGCTGAAATCGCACCAAGGAAAGGCAAAGGCAAATCAGGCATTAAATTGCTCATGAGGCCGACAATTTCTTTAAACACAGAGCGCTGCGCAGCGGCTGAGTTGGTAATAGAAAAGGATTTGACTCGATTGAACACCCGAATTTGCAATTTTCGAGTTAAGCTCCGTTGCGCCCCCAAACGCCTCGGAAAAAATGGTGGGCGGTGAGCTGAAATTATAGCCTAAGCCCAGGCAAGTGGAAGAGCAGACGGAGTTTTAGCCGTCTTTTTTCCAATTGCTGCACTTTTTTTCGGCTTTTTTCGGGGCCATCTCTTGGCCAAAAGCACTTAACACGTCAACACGGTCGCCGGCGCTGTTTTCCCAAGCAGTCGGCGGGATTCGAGTTGGTTTTCGGTGGGAGTTGCAAGTTGGGCGGGCCTACGAAGCGGGGATACGCTACTCCAGGAAAGTAAATAGTACTGATAGGGAAAACGATACTTCAATCAATAACATCACCTTTTAAGGACTGATACTTACTATACATTAACAAAAATTAGTTTTAACTTTTTAACTTGTGAAGAAGAAAGCCTCCGAATTTTATTAAATTTTTTATATTAGTCTTCGTTTTAGTATTAGATTTTCTAAAATCGATTTACATAGAGGGGTATCTTCTACCCCTTCTTAAATTCCTTGACATTCACATTCACTACCCTCTATTAGAAAATATACCTTGATATTGGAGGAACTTCCATCACTTCCCTTACTTTTCCCCCATTTACCCAGTGTTTGGGCCATATCGATAAAAACAATGTTGCGGTATTCTGCCTTATGCTGACATGATTACCCAGCTAACCATATAACCAAAGCCAAATCCAAAGTCGAGGCTAAACTCGAATGGTTGATTGTAGGTGCGAGTTAAGGTGCACTCAGATAAATACAATTGTTTACCAATAGAAAAGTATTGTATTCTTGTGTCTAAATAAATTCCTTTTTTTATTTAAGTTGGTTTTGTATTTCCAGTAAATAAAAGTATCTTCAAAATATATTGTAAATGCTTCTAAAAAATATTAAAATGTAAGACAAATTGTTTTTTTTGTGTGTTTGCTTACTGTAGAATGAAAATGGGATTGGAACTCGCATGTTGCATGCCCATATAGATCGATAAGGTGGCCGAAGATTGAGCTGGAGAGTGTGTATCGATTATTATCTATTTTGGCAGAAATCGATCGTGATCGATTTATGCTGAGCTGTTGAACAAGGTTAAGTGGCCGCAGGGTCTCAAAGGGGAACTATAATGCAGCATTTGGCCATCTGAGCTGTTAATGTGGCAACAGGAGTTTAAGTAGAAATGGGCACAAAATTAGTTCCACCGCGACTCAGACGTAACTGGATTGAGTTGTCCTTTTTTTGAATTCATGTAAATGCTATACAGAAATCTTCGCTTTGTGAAGTCAACTAAAATATTTTTGGCTTGGGTTTCGGCGAGCCCTTTTGTGACGCTCTTTGCTAGGCTTTTGGCGAGACTTCTACGAGGCTTTTAACTATACTTTTTAGGATGACCTCTTTGCAAGGTTTTATGCGAGGCTTGTAACGAGGCTTTTAAGAAGTTTCTGGTTCAGCTTTTTGCTTTGATTTTAGGTAGGCTTTTTGCGATGCTTTTTGTGACGATTTTTGCTAGGCTCTTTGCATGGTTTTAGTATAGTAGGCCTTATGTTCTTAGGAGGCCTTTGCCTCGTAATTTACTAAATTCAAATTGTTTCAATGCCAGTGCTCACTGATATTTCTGTTCTCGTCAATTCGATTTGGATATTGTCGTAGTACCTGGCAGCAAAAATAAAAAATTCATAAATTACCCATAAGCAGCTGTGGACATGTCGACGGCCCCCGAAGATAGGTTGCGCGAGAACCTCAATCGCTGTCTGTCCGACTCCCTGGTGAAGGGCTTTGGAGGTCTGGTGATCGGGTCCGTGGTCACCCTGCTCTTCTTCCGGAGGCGCATTTGGCCCGTCTGGTTGGGCACTGGATTTGGCGTGGGCATGGCATATCGGGGCTGTGAGAAGGAGCTCAACGATGTGAATTTCGACCAACAGAAGTGATCGCAAGCAATAGAACAATGGATTTTACGGATGCACAAATACGGTTTACTCTCTTGCGTTGATTTGGAATGTGGAACGATTGGAGTAAAGTAACTCGATAAAAATAAAGTCTTTTAATGGGGCTAATGGTGTGGTAATATCATATCAATAAACTAAGAAGAGAAAGAAGCCTTAGGACACTTTAATCATGATCACTTTGCGATCTGGAACAAGTGATATGTGTATGCCAATCAGCGATGGCATTCGACACCTATTTTTTGGTCATCTTAAGGCGCTCTTTCATGTTCACCGATCCTGAGATCGTTCAAGGGCCCAATAAATCGCCTTGTCCCGTTGCAGGCTGGTGCTAATGCGACAAGTCCACCGGAATTCCCTCTGCCCTCCAGTCCGCGGCACTCTACACTTGCTTTCTTCTCGGAAAGATCGCTATTCGCGATCCATTTGCCAAGATATAGTCGAGGGCAGCGCTTCGAATTCAGTCTGCTTCCGAGGCAATCGGGCGATCGCCTGGCGGAAAAGTGCAGTCAAAAAACCGGAGGAGATTGTGTAGCACGGTCGGCAATTATAATATATACAAAATCCATTACGGTTCACAGGTCAAATGTAGAAATTGAGATAGATCCGCGGCCAGAGGCTGGATTTGGTTCATTGGCAGCTTTGCACGTTGTCCCCCCTCGAGACCCGTTCGCAGGCATTTTTTCAGTGCTGCCAAGGGCAGCTAGAAAGTAATTTGCAAAAATAAATAAAATACTTTAGTGAAGTAAAAAATTAATAATTACTAATCAAGGAAGAATTATTTTATTTGTCAGTGAATAGATATAAGAAAATATATTTTAAGACAACTTTGTTAAGAAGCATTTAGGTAAAAATTAAACAATTTTTTATTTTGTAAGTATTCTTATTTTCTCTTCAATTGGAAATTCATTATTGAAAAAAGCATCTTGTGGAAATTTAATTCATTAGTACGTGCAATAAAATTTATAAATATTTTTTTCTTATTACAACCACGAGTGCTTAAAATTTCCTTATTGAATGCTTGGCTGAATTGGCAGCACTGTTCCTGACGACATCGTCATCGTCGATCAATGCTCAATCCAGCTCAGTTGAGCCTGTAGCGCCGCATCGCATCGCATCCCATGCCCATCAAGATAGTCGAAGACCCATTGCCTCCGTGGGTCCCTGTCCCTCCATTCCCCATTCCCCATTCCCCATTCCCAAATCCCGATTCCCGATCCTCTATCCTCAATGCTCCAACCCCGATCCTCGATTCGAGTGGCAATCGTGATCGAGTCGAACTCTGCATTCTGTATTCTGGATACTGGATTGTGGATTCTTGTGGCTTCCACTCGCCGCAGTTCAGAATTCGGCAGCAATTTTTCTTCGTGGTTCCTTTTCCACCTTTTCCACTGCCCTGGCCATATATATACGATATACACGATATCCGATTCGGCGACAGATTCGTTTTGGCAGCTACGCAGTCTCCAGCGGAGATGATCAATTCGGTTCATTTTAGTGAGCCTTAGACTTAAGAATAAATATACATCTAGCATATAATTAAATGTCTTAAAATAAACTGAAGAAATATATTTAAGGAGCTGTATAACAATTATACAAATTGGTTATATGGGCTAAAGATTTTGGGATTTACTTTAGGACTTTACAGAAATATAAAAAGTTGTTGGTCCAATGGTTGTACAATATATTACAAATCTAAATACTTGTAAGTATTTGTATTTTGTAAAACCTTACTTATATGTTTTAATAGCTCATATAAGCAGTTTCCTTGCTAAATTTTCCTTCGAACTAGTTCCTCAGATCGCATATGACCAGATCTGGCCACGGCCAATCCCCGGCTAAGAACCATCCCACAAAAACTGAGGCCTAGACCAAGTGGCCAAAACCATTCCTTGGGACTCGAAGCTCTCGCGCTCTCCACGTTTAATAAGCAATTTTGATTTGGAGCAGATTATGTGACGACCAAACGAGCTGCAAGTTCAGGTTGCATGCCACACTGCTGCACTGCACCATTGCTTCCTTGGCTACTGGTACACTGGGAAAAAATCATGCGATATTTATAATATAATTATGTATATAAAGAAGTATTTGTTTTGATAAATTTGTTTAAACAATTGTGTCTTAAATATGTTTAAAATTAACATATTATTCTTTATCAGGGACCGATAATATGAGATATTTCGGATTTATTTTAAAGACTACTATGAACTTGACAAACTTTGAGATAAAAAAGAAAATGGCAACATAATCCTAGGTATTATTTTCTAGACAAAATAAAAAAATTAATTTAATATTATTCCTGATGCTCACTATTTATAAGGATATCCCATTTAAGGTTTCAAATCAATTATCTGAAAAATAAAGAAAATTGTTTGCCTACTTAAGGTATTTTAAAAGGCTAAAGGTACCATATCATTACCATTATTTCTAGTGAATTGTGAATTTTGAAGTGCAGCATTTAGTGCAAGCTGACGCTAAGCACTTTTCTCTTAGTGTAGTCCAGCCGAAGGAGCCGCCTGCTTGGAGCTTTTGACTGCGACTTGCACTTGACTTTGTCGCTGACCCGGCAAAGATTTTTAACTGGGACTTGTTGCCAGTTCCCCGGCTCCCTGATGCCGATACTGTTTACATGGAACTTGTACTGATTGCTCCTAGTCATGCCCCCGATTTGGAGATTCGCAATTTTGTGATAAGACCACAGCGCACACCGACTTGGCCGAGTTCATTTTCGCAGGAATTGCCTGAATTTTTATTGAATTTTAATTGGTCAAAAATGGTGATGATTCCCAATGATGAGTAGCAGGGGTTTTTCTTCTTTTTTTTGTGAAACCCTTGGTAGATTGGAGAGCATATGCCTGATGACCGGCCCTTGGCCGCTGCAATTCGGAATGGCAAAGGTTCCCAAGAAAATTTAGATCAATTTTCCTAATTTACCCGGACCGCGGCGATTGCGTGTCGTGGCGTGAAAAACGGCACTTGAGGAAAACCCACAGAACGCGGAGGAGAATCATCGAGGAGCAGGCGGCATTCCACCAGCGGAGGAGGCCGAGGTCGAGCGGAAAATAAATCACGACTCAAGTTTCGAAAGCGCGAAACTGTTACCAAAGCACTTAAACTTAAATTGGCCAAACCGAGCTGCGAGCTAATCCAGCAGAGATCCCACAAAAGCCCCCTCCCCCTACACTTTTTACCATCCACGGGCGGGGAGTCCCAAATTAGAAATAGTGTAGATAGATACGCCAATAGAATTTATAGCGAGCCTCGGACTGCGTTCCTTTTTTTGCTTTCCAACTGCCGCAGCCGCAGCTCCTCATGATCATGCCCTGGTCAGGTTAATTTTGGGCACGACCATGGCCAGGCGGCCATGTGGATGACGATGACGATGATGATGGCAACGCACGAAGGAAGCCGCACCAGGTGCACTGGGAAAAAATACCAGCTCAAGTTGGCCAAGGGAAATAATTAGCTGAGATAAGGTCAGTTTTAGTAGCAGGTTCTTTAGTAATTAAAAATAAAGATATAAAATAGGTATACAAAATAACAGAAAAACAACTTCAAATAATAAAATACTTATCTGGTATATACTAGATATAGTCCATACACGAAATAACATTTTTAATAAATTTTCGGTATTTTCGAGATATTGTCAAAAAATACCTAAACAGTGTAACACTGAAAGTTCTACCACCCATTAAAGTATCTCAATATCTAATGAAACAAAAATAAAGGCATTTTTTTCGATACTTATACATAAGTACTACAGTAATAATGTAGTATACAAAAATCTTAGGGATAGGAAATATCTAATCAGTACAAGATAATTATACTAAAGTTTATTTGTATTTTTAGGATTTAACTTGCTTGGTATCAGAATTTGGTATATCTCTAGTTTGGTCCAAAAGAATGATCCATTTACCCAAATTATTTTATTTGTATTTAACCCTTTTGTTTTTCCAGGTAACCCCCTTTTTTTAAGTGCACTTTCGAGTGGATGAGCAGGGGGCTAGGTGGCAGTCATGGAGCCGAGGCAGAAACGTGCTCAGGGATCGCAGCTTAAGTTTAATGGAACCAATTGAAGATATTTTGTGGGCAAGTGATAAAGTTGTATGCCCAGTTGGTGGGTGCCGGTGCCCTCGTCCGCGTCCTCATCTTCCACAGACCAAATCCCTCTCGCTCGGAACTTGGAACTTGGCTCTTCCATCAACAAGTCGTTGCTGCAAGTTCACTCTTCACGAACCCATTAAATGATGCGTAAGCCCAACGTGATCATGCGTCTCCGAGGGGCCAGATCACACGATCCTGATACGCAGAGTGAAAAACCTGAGGAGAAATCAGCGTGAAAATTGGCCACCCTCCCCCCTTCTCCACTTCTCCACCCGTTGAGTTATGTGAAAATTGCGGAAGAATTTCGTGAGGCGGCTTGTTAGTAGATGGAAGTGGAAGTGGGGAAGCACAGGCAAAGCAAACCGAGGCAAACCAAAACCAAACTCAAGCCAAACTATATAAACTAAACTGAACTAAAGTAAACCAACATTGAGCCAGGTCCAAAGGCAATTGGCCTGCAATCAGTGGGGGAAGTGGGTGAAAGGCGCTGCCAAAGGGGGTGGGAAGTAGGTTAAGGTAATTCCCAATACACAAACATATGGCCAGCAAATTTCAGCTGCAATTGCAGTGAGAAAATCACAGCAGTTGGGCATTTCTATCATAAGTTGGTATCGAATGCAATTTAGATTTTTTATACCAAAATTGGGTCTTCTGAGATATTTCAATTGAATTCAAATAAAAACTTAAGACACTTTATAATTATTTAAATTGCTTACATACAAAAAACAACATATTCAAATATGTTATTAAAAGATATGCCAACAGAAGATAAGTTTGAAAAAGTCTTAGTTTGATAAAGTATTAGAAATTTTTATTGGCATTACTAATATGGTCAAGATATATATAAAAAAAAGTAACAAAATACAATCTTTTACTATCTGGACTTGAAATTTTTATTCGTTGTTGGATTTTTTTGATTTTCCGGCTTGTGAAAATCTATGGCATCGTTTACCGTTCTGT